GCGATCGGGACCCGGGAGCCGGCTGGGGCCTCGGCCGCCCCGCGGGGGCCCGACCCGGGCTCCCCCGCGGCGTTCCGAGCGCGGCCGTGGACTCCCCCGGGGACGGCTCCCGAGGGCGAGGTCGGCGGGAGAGGGCCCTGGGGTGACCGAGGCACCTATTTTTAGCCAGGCCTGAGGGCCCACGGGAGGGAAGGCGGATTACCGCCTCCTGGGCCGGTGGACGGAGGGGAGCGTGTCTTCGGCGGCGTTCCTGGGCCGGAGCAGGGCCATGCTTTACGCCATGCTGGAATTCCAGCCCTCTCCGCTCCCTCTGGAGACCGAGGATAAACGGCGTTCCGGCCCTTGCCGCTACCCTGGCGCCCCCTCCCGCCGCCCTGGAGGTCGTGGTGGGGGCTGGGAAAGCATAAGGAGGGGAGAGTTTAAAAAAAAAAAAAATGAAATCAGTGGAGCACACAGTTTTGGACGGGCGAAGTTAGCCCTTCCTCTCCCCGAGGGGTGTGTCTTCCTCTGTAATTCCCCCTCCCCCCCTCCAGTTTCCAACAATGAGATCTTTAGCGCTCGGGATCTCGGCCGCAAACCCCGCTGGCCTCCTCGGAGAGGCGTGCGCCAGGTGCGGGATGTGCAGCTCCGCACGTCGGGGTGAGCGGAGCTGGGGCGCCTGCTGCAGATGGAGCCTGGCAGCCAGACACACACCGAGCGGGTGCGTGTAACCTCGTGGAGCTGCACGTTCCCAGGGCGAAGAGCGGGCTGCTTGAGGAGAGCTTTCTACTTGAAGAAAGGAGGGATCGAAGTTACTAAGTGCTTTAGGATGAGCTGTCTGATGAGCACGGTCTGATGAAGCCACATATGTGTACTGTTGAAACGTGTGGATTTATGACCTTTTGAAATGTTTTTGTGGAAAGCCTTTTGTGGAAATTTTGGCACACATAACTTTGGGGGATGAATGAAACATAGGTTATGTAGGAATTGACTAAATGGAGTTGAATTTGGGCCTTGGTCTTTACTGGGAAGCAAACGGCAACAATGTCTCTTGTTTGACTAAATTAGCAGTAGTGGAGTGGGTTGATGGCCCGACGAAAACCCTGGAGAACTCTTGAGTTATTAGGTATTTTTGTATGGGTATGTCTTGCAGTGGACTGTAGTGTCTGTGCCCTCTAATAAACAGAACTCTTTTTTTTCCTCCTTTCGTTGACTCCGTTAGCATGAAACCTGAGCTCATTGTTGGTCCTGAGAAAACCAATCCTTTCCAGTTTTGCAGCCTCGGCGGTCATAACAGTATCTCATTTACCTGGCACCATGAGAAAGAATGAGATGTTCTACTTAAACGAACTTTACCTTGATGTTGTGTACCGAAGAGTCGGAACCGACCCAGAGCAGACTCTCCGGCGCGTTTTCAGAGGCACTGGAGGAGATTACCTGTCCTCCCCAAAACAGTTGGTGGCTTCAAAGGCTTGCCTTCCAGATTGCAGCTCAGCTTCTTAACCACTAGGCCAGCAGAGTTCGAACTTTACCTTACTGAGAGTTAAAATATATTGAAGCATAATGAAGGAAATTCTTAATTTTTTTAATCCATTTCCAACTTGAGAATATTTGCTTTTTGTTACTCAACCCTTATTGATTTGGTGTGAGCATTATGAAGAGCCATTAGTTTATGATTTGTTCTAAAATGCAATGTTTTCCAGTGACCTCTTTTACTGTCAGTTGTTTCTCATACGTGGTGGATTGTTTGGTGCCCCCCCCCCCCCCAAAAAAAAATCTTACACATAAGCCTCCACCCAGTTCATAGGTTTTAATCTCTTTTGGGAGCCCTCCGTGAACAATCATTGAGAAGTTACTGAAAATCACTCACAACTCCCATCAGAGAAAAGATCTGTAGATTCTGCTTTATACAGATTTCAACCTTGGAAACTCTTTGGGGGTGCAGTTCTGTGTTGTTGCTGTGAGTCAGTCATGAAGCAGCAGGTTGATGGGTAGTCTGCTTTTGATAGGGAAAATTAGATAAGTAAATGTAATAATTATATGTTTAAAATCAGATAATATGAGTTTTACCAAGGGCCAAAGAAGGCCTGTAACAAATTTTTTTGAGGTTTAACTGTTAGTATTGGTAAGTTTTTGTTTTAAAATTTACTTAGAATATATAGAAAAAGTATTTTTAATCTTGAACAAAAAAATCTAGTATTTACAAAAAATTTAAAGTTGTTAATAAACAATTATTCCATTTGGGTTTCTTAGGAATCTAACGTGATATATATTGAAGTGCAGAACGATTAACTTGCTAAAATCATTAAGAATATTCAGAGGCTTGACGAGCACATCTTATGAAGTGCTTGTTTTATTTACTATTGATGTTTTTAGTAACTTTGAAGATAAATCTGTATTTTCAGAGATTAGAAGTAACCATTTCTTGGGAAATTATTCTGATCATCACTTTTATGCATAATACGAGCTGAATTTCATTGCTTACTCTTTCATTTCTGTGAATGTGATTTTAAGTATGCATGTCTTAATGTTATTAATGTGCAAATTTCAGGGAAAGTACTGATTTAGCTAAAACCATAAATTATTTTATTCTATAAACAAAACAAAGAAACCAGAAAGTCATAGTGCCATAAACTACAGAGTTTGTTTAACTTGCCTTCTGTATCTGAGATTTAGAAAAAGAAATAACAATTTACTTCTGGTTTTGTATCTTACTGTTGAACTGATTTTCAGCCTTTGAGGTAATATAAACGGCTTACATTTTTCTTTCTTATTTTACCTTCTTAAAGGCATCTGCCTTTAATTGGATTTATGTTAAAATGTTTAACTAGGCTAAATACACTTTTACTAACTACAGTTTTCGTAGAGATTCCAATTAAAAAAAATAGAGTATTTGTAGAATTGTAATAACTGTTCAACTTCTTTCTAAAAAGCTGTCATTTAATACATTGCATATCATCCTTACAACTGTAGTTAGGTTAACAACTTACTTGTATCTTAAATTTGGTTTCAATAAAGTGTTTTGTACAGTTTAGTGTAACTGAAATTGTTACACTTTTCCTTCTTCCTAGAAACTTTTTAAGGTTTTTGCCATCATAGATTTTCTCTTTATAATTTATCGTCTGCTCATTTTGTTGGAGTGCATAATCCTTGGTTAACTTTTCTTTTTACACTCCCCTGCAATTCAAAGTAATGGTGACCTAGTGGCAAGTAGCTGCACTGTAATCCCAAAGGCACACAGTTTGAGGCCACCAGCTGCTCTGCAGGAGAAAAATGGGCAGTCTCCTGTGCTATATTAACTGCCTCTGAAAACCCTCCAGAGGGTCAGCTATGGGTCAGTCCTGACTCTATCTATGTATGGTTCACCTAATCCCAGGGCTTTAAACACTTAGATGATAATTTTCATTTTTATGACTTGATCCTAGACTTTTGTACTCCACACAATCTGTTTGAAATCTTTAGTTAGCTGTTTAGTTATTGACTTATAGCTAGCCCTCCAGCGGTTTTCAAAAGCATAAATGGTATGGAGTTGGTTGTCTGTCTTTCTCACACATAGCAGCAGCTAAGAAATAAAAAAAACGCATTGCGATGGGAAAGTCTGCTGTTAGGGACCTCTCTAAAGTACTCAAGATCAATGGTGTCTCTCTGGAGACTAAGGTGTGCCTGATACAGGCCATGGTCTTTGCAATCACTTGTTATGCATCAGAGAGTTGAACAATGACTGGGGAGGATAGAAGGAGAATTGATGCCTTTGAGCTGTGGTGCTGGAGAAGAGTATTGAATGTACCTTGGACTACCAAGAAAACAAACAGATTCATCCTTGAGAGGGTTAAACCAGGCTACTCCTTGGAGACAAGGATTCTGGGGCTTTGTCTGACGTACTTTGGACATGTTGTAAGGTGAGACAGGTCTTTGGAGAGGGAAATCATGCTTGGTAGGGTGGAGGGACAGTGCAGGAGGAGAAGACCCTCTATGAGGTGGATTGATTCAGTGACTGGGGTAATCGGTATGCGATTGGCACAGGATAGGACAGGGTTTCGGGCTGTTGTACATAGGGTCGCTATGAGTTGCAAACGACTAGACGGCACATAACAACAACGACAACTTTTGCACTGGCAGCGTGATTCCTTACCACTTTGCCACCAGAGTTTCCGAGATGCTTAGTTGTTGTTGTTAGGTGTTGTTGAGTCGAGTGTGCTTTATAGCGATCCTGTGAGCAACAGAGCTGAACCCTGCCCTATCCCGTGCCATCCTCATAATCTCTGACACATTCAAGACCATTGCTGCAGTCATTGTGTGTCAGTCCACTGGTTGGAGGGCCTTCTTCCTTTTTACTGTCCCTCCACCACTAGTCATCTCAAATTAAACTTACGTATTCACCTTTAAACCTGCTTCTGATACGTTCTTTTGATTGGAATATCTGTCTGGGTTTTTTGGTTGGTTTTGTGGTTTTATTTTTGAGTCATCCTTTTCTCGAAAAGACATCCAAAATCCAATCTCTTAATACTTCTACTCTTCACTAGTCCAGTTCAAGCCTTTCTTATCTTTTGCCTAAATTTCTGCACTTAGCCTCCTCACCAGGTTTCCTTTTTTAATGTTAGGTCCCAGCAATCGTTTTCAGCACAGCAGCCATATCCTATCACATTGCTTCTCTCATTACAACCCTGCAGTGACTTTTCATAGCACACAGAGTAACAGCCAATGTCTTTATGGCCTAGAAGACCTTACAGAATCTGGAAACTCTCTTTTCATTCTTTCCCTGTTACTTAGCTTAACCGTCACTACTTTTCTTTATCTTCCTTATTTTCTTCTCTGCCAGTGACTCTTTTTTAGGGCCTTTCTTTGATTGTCTATTGCAGTCTCTTGGATCATTTTCCTTCAGAGATAACTGCATGGATGATTCCTATGTCTCCTTCAAATATTTGCTCTTTAAATGTCACTTTCAGAAAGACAGTGCTATTCTTAGTTAAAGATGTACTTACTCCCCTTCTTCTGATTCCTGTACTTTTTTTTTTAAATCCCTGTACACTTAAAAAGCACTTGTCACCTTCTATCATATTATAAGCTTTCCTTGTTTATTGTCTATTCCTTACACCCTCAAGCATATACTAGGAAGTAACCTCAATGGGCTCAAGTATGTCAGAGATGATGAGGATGGCACAGGATATTTCAGGGTTCTGATCTGTTATTCATAGGATCACTGGGTTGAAGGATTAGATGAGTTGTGGTCAACAACAACCACCTGTGTGAGCACATGATTTTCTGTGCCACTTACTGTTTAAGGCAGAACC